GAGAGAGAGAGAGAGAGAGAGAGAGAGAGAGAGACAGAGAGAGAGAGAGAGAGAGAGAGAGAGAGAGAGAGAGAGAGAGAGAGAGAGAGAGAGAGAGAGAGAGAGAGAGAGAGAGAGAGAGAGAGAGAGAGAGAGACAGACAGACAGACAGACAGACAGAAAGACAGGCAGACAGACAGAGAGACCGACAGAGAGAAAGAGAGAGAGAGAGAGAGAGTGAGAGAGAGAGAGAGAGAGAGAGAGAGAGAGAGAGAGAGAGAGAGAGAGAGAGAGAGAGAGAGAGAGAGAGAGAGAGAGAGAGACAGACAGGCAAACAGAAAGAGAGAAGGAGAGTGAGAGAGAAGGAGAAAGAGAGAAGGAGAGAGAGAGAGAAAGAGAGAGAGAGAGAGAGACAGACAGACAAGCAGACAGACAGAGAGACAGACAGACAGACAGACAGAAAGAGAGAGAGAGAGAGAGAGAGAGAGAGAGAGAGAGAGAGAGAGAGAGAGAGAGAGAGAGAGAGAGAGAGAGCGACAGAGAGAGAGAGGAAGTGAGTTTGATAAATTTTATCACTAATGTAGTTATTTTTGCAGTACGTGAGTCAGATATACGAGTATATACACTGTTTTACCATACTAAGCACCGTATGTGTATTCATGATTACTGTTGTATATTTGTAGATTAATTTGTATATATATTTTCTGAAATCGTTATCCCTGAGTCTAAATAAAATAAGACTCATAAAATAAAAGAATAGAAACATCATTCATAATTATCATGGTTATTGTATAAAAGGTATGAATGTGAATGAATATCTTTGGAATACAAGAGACGCATTTTAACGGTTTCGATTATATCTTCATCAGAAATAACACGTATTTCTGATGGAGATAAAATCAGAGGCGGTCAAATACATCTCTTGTATTGTGAAGATATTAGTTCTCAGTCATACCTTTTTCTACTTTTGTCAACATGAATACGGTTCATGAAAATACTTTCATAAGATCAGTTCTTAATTCATTGCATCTAATATGTCGGAAACGATTTTGAAAAAAATCCTTTTCCGGTGTTAATCAGCGTTTTTTTTTGAGCTGTAAATAGTCTCTCTTGTTATCTGTGAGTGTGTGTGTGTGTGTGTGTGTGTGTGTGTGTGTTTATTTATAGTTTAACTAATAAGTTTGAGTTCCTAACAAATTTGTTTTAATTGTGTATCTACATTTATATGTTATGCAAACCATTATTCTCCAGATAAGCGAATTTCGAATACCATATGGGCATCTTGACTCAAAAGAAAACAAAATGGCCGTTTCCGCACAAGAAGGAGGGGGTGTGGGATGGGGAGGAAGTGGTACAAAGATTAAAATATTATCGAATTCCCTTGGGACTCATTCATATATGCCATGAAACCTAAGTATATTGTTTTCAGTGGATTTTAATATAATTTGTGTCAATACCACGAAACTTCTCGAGCACTTGACTCGAAGAAAGGTGATCTTATATAATATTTTCTCAAACCTGGTAACCTTCAAAGGTGTTTATGACCGAGAAAAGCCATAAATTACAAATTTATAAGTGAGAAATTACTTAGTAAAGTTTAATATTCAGCTTTCCAATGGTTCATCAGCTGACCACACTTAGAGTAATGTTATATTATTTACATATTCCTATTATTCCAATCTCATTACTCTCTTCTCGTTGAAAAAGGTGGCAACTCTCTGTTTGTAATATACTTAAAGTAATTAGCAGATTCTACTAAAAAGATATTTTTTGGTAGGTGGTTTTAATAAGAACGATAAAATCCCATAGTTACAGAAAACGAAGTTCATCTGGTTTACAGAAAACGATCAGCTTTTTACCATGCCCATAACCATTAAATTAAAATGATAAAGAAACGGCGATATCATATGTATATACACATATATCCATATATGTGCATATAAATACATATACACATATAGATTCTGTATTATGTTAAAGTAGCCTATCTGAATGCAGTAATATATCCTTGATCAGTACTAGTATGGTTCGTGAAAACTACAATTACAATATATGGATTAATGAAAAAAAGACGACAAAAGAAAATTATTTGAAGCTGATTATACAATCTGGCCAGAATTTCTCGGTGCAATGTAACATAATCAAATTATCCAAGTTTAACTGCGATTGTGCAGCTAACTCTGAAAGAAAACGGAGACATTAGCGGGTAAACTAATATAGATGCGAGTCGTGTTTTATTTTACCGAAGTTTTCTTTGACACTTGCGGTAAATAATTAGAGCAAATAAAGAGCACTAATATGTAATTACATAAGGTGCCTATGTTCATGCACATCCCAATACACATGATATTTCACACACACACATATATATATATATATATATATATATATATATATATATATATATATATATATATATATATATATATATATATATATATATATTTATATATATATATATATATATATATATATATATATATATCTATTAAAAATCAAGAGGAAAAGAATCACAACAAAGATATAGCAAACAGGATATTGCCTTTTGCATTCCCTTTCATCTGTAAATCAACTTCGCAATTAGAATAAAGCAGAATATTAAAATTTATTGTTTTCTTTCCTTGATCATAGAATGTTCTTGACCTACAGAATGCGAGTCCTTAGAATATCTAAAGGTTTGGAAATTTTCACCATAACATTAAAACCTCCATACTCTTAAAGAAATTTACATTATATGACGATTTTTAGACAGACGTTTTTGCATGCCCATTACTTTTCCAGCCAGCGAGGTATGAGCAAGCAAAAAAAAAAAAAAGTTAATGAAACTATTTTGTTTGTGTGAACAGTATACTCCATGCGACCTTATACATTCCCAAAGGCTAAAAATTGGTGGCGAGGTAATAACGGAGACATTAGGATTACCTACCTTCAGCGCACCAACAGTCAGGTTAGGCTTTAAAAGGGTATGGACACGTAAAAAAATGACATTAGTAAAATCACTATCTTCCTGTGCCATTCCCCACCACACCGTTTTGAAGGTAAGGCTTTTAATGATATTGAAACGTTGAGTTAAATATTTTAACGTTTCGTTGTATAGGGATACAGCCTAATAACCACACAATAAGCAGTATCCTAAGGTATTATTTAACATTTATTTAGGTACCGCAAGCTATACTTGGGAGGACGGCCATCAGGGTGATTTAAAACCATTTCATTTTTTTTTACACGTACATTGGTCAGTATCAAACACTTAATTTGTAGGGATTGCTTTGTTTACTAAGTAAGATGTTCAAGTCTGGTTCCAAAGGTCTCTCAGTAACACCATTTAGGCCTATATACAGAGTTTCATAGACTTCCTTCATAGCCTCTACGCCATTACTAAAAATAAACATCTATATGAACAGATAGTTTAACGAATGCCAACGTAAACTGTTCCTCTGAATTGTTATGTCTATCTCATTTGCTATCGATCTGACATATTAGATATTTATTTATTGTAAGCGGGTAGAGTAAGCAAAAATTCCAAACAGGTGCCTTCTTTACATGAAAGTATAGGCTTTTCACATGCTGAATATATACATAAAGCTGTATTTATAAACATATATGTAGGTATACGTGTGTGTAGATACCTACGGTTTATGTGTTTGAGAGGGAGAGAGAGAGAGAGAGAGAGAGAGAGAGAGAGAGAGAGAGAGAGAGAGAGAGAGAGAGAGAGAGAGAGAGAGAGAGAGAGAGAGAGAGAGAGAGAGAGAGAGAGAGGGGCAGAGGGATGGAGGGATAGGGAGAGATAGGGATAGGGAGAGATAGGGAAAGAGGCAGGAAGCAAAGCAAAGCCCCTAATAGCGCCAATATTGTAATAAGAGAATTAAAAATAAGAATGTAGTTAGCGGTAAAGATAGATAATGTTTAATGTTTTAAATAAATGTGCTAGACGTCAAAGGTCATTTATCACCATGGTAAAGCATTCTGGTGGGAGGGGTTTTCAAGTTCTTTATTAGAACAAAATGTCTTATGGTATTATAAGATAGTAGGGTAGTGAAAGGAGTGGGGTAGGGTAGGTTTTAACAGAAGGGCAAGGGATATGGACAAAAGGTGATTAGACCAAATGGAACGTACATATACGTCTGGGGAAGGATCTGATTGAAATGGTGGGGAGATTCCGTGAGGATTTCTCGACAATTTGAGGAAGAGACAAGTAAGGAAAAACGAGGGTTAGGGCTTCAGTAAGGCGGTGACAGAATGGTAGGATATGTGGGAATGAAAGAGAAACATTGCGTGTGGAACATAAAGGTGGGTTGGAGTGTGACATTATTATATATATCAGATAGATCTAGTTCGTAAACGGGTAAGGGTAAAGGCAGATAACAAACGGTAGCTGTATGTGGCTAGTATTCGTGACTTATTGTAGATATGCTCGTAAATAAAGCTTCATATGCAGCTAAGCTTCCCATGTGGTATACAAATGTGTACGATTAAATACGATTGTATATCACAGTAGCTAGCCTTAAAAAAATAATAAAATAATAAAAAAATGGATGGGTTAAGTGAATCTGGAGCAGGAATTTCTTATTTCAATAAGAGCTTAGCAAAATAAATAGGGCTGGATTAAAATGTCAGTGATTAATCGTATGTACTCTACGATACCGAAATTTTGGATTTGATTTGTACATGGAGATATTATCAATTGCGTTTCCATTGTGTCATATTTGGAAAACGTCGCCCACTTCCTCTAAAAGAAATATATTTTAATTTTCCTACTGATATCGTTTATCTGATTCGTTCGATAATATTTAGCGCCCATTTTACGCCGTTTTTTTTCAGTGTCACGGAAACGTGCCATCCCCTGTGGTCACGATGCCAGTTAGTAAATATTACAAGTAAAGTTCTCTGTCATGACTCTACTTCTTGTCAAAGCCTTATATTGATAGATAAAACCCATTTGATTATGGAAAATTACCTAGGAAAATGAGAATCTCTACTCCAGGAAGATAATCCAACGGAACTTTACCAAAAAAAAACAT